GAGGATGAGCAGTTTTCGGAGCATCTTGCATTCGGTCGTTACTACGGAGTCCTTCCCCAATCCGCGACGATGGATATGAAGACTCTGAACTGGTGGCCATCTAACCGCGGTTATGGGGTGTTCCCTGTTGAGAGTATACTGCGTGTGCGGCACGTCGTCCCAAAAACCGAAGACCCGTCTCATCCACTCGCAAAGTTCGTTTTGAACCATTTCAAGTGGTAGGAACATGTATTGTATATATCTGTATATATGTGTTTCGTATATTGATCCATTTTACTTTTGCAAAGCTGCTTTCAATGCAACTGTAGGGCTACAATAGACAACATTGTTAGTATAATTTAGACAATTCGTATTTCTGCATTTAGTGTATTTGAGCAGACACCTATAGACCCTCCGAAAAGAGCAATTAACGCGAATATTATCCTGTATTGAAAAGACACAATCGAGAAAATTGCGACTTTCCTGATGACTGTGGATGCTGCGCCACCCTGCACGCGTGATGTGATTCAGTGAATCTCGTTAGCCACTGGGCCACATGCAACGATATACCTTGTTATTTTTTTATTCTACGCTGCTGTTGGCATGCTGGTTCAAAACTTGGCTGCTACAAATACGTCTTTCTATAGCGTTTAGTTAAATGAGGACCGACACAAACCTCGACTTCCCCGGCTTCACCTCGGACTTTCCACACAATGCTGACTTCGGGTTTTGGTTTACACCCTGTATTTTTCCTATCGTGTCGTGTGATACACAAAAGTTTGCACAACTACTTTGTCTCGATTAAACCGAAAACTGATGCACCACAAGTGGCGATGCTCGTCGACAGAAATACTGCTGCCACGTTTGGACGGGTTCTAGTCTTGTTGCAGCATTTCTACTGCAGCCTGGTTGTTGTTGCTGTACAGTTTAGGCGCGCGGCGCCAACGTTGCATGAATCTACGGTTGGCTGTCCATCTACATTCTGGCTCGACGCGCAAACGTTGCAGGTTCCGAGAAGGAGGACCTGTACGACGAATTTGGCAGCGTCGTCACTGTACAGTTCCCCGACTGTTGATCTAGAAATCCCTAAATTTTGTTTGCCCGACTTCACAAATGCTCTTCGTATAGAGGTCCACTTAGCAATTTCGAACTAGACCTGTGCAAACTCAAACAGATTACGGGTCGTTTAGAAGATTTCAGAAAGCACAGCCAGCGCAACAGGTGTTTTGAATTGAAAGCCAGCCAGCCATAATGTGCTGATGCTGCCAGCGCAACAGATACAGCGCAGCATGTCACCACATGTGAACAGTGTACCCTATCCCGGCTGTGAAGGACACGCCGCGCGTCGTCCACAAATCAACACCACTCACACGCGGCAAGCCACCGACATGCTGTCCAGCTCGCACGCCACCCTCGCACGACCCAACCCAGGTGTGAAGTGCACGGCGCGCGTCCAACCAATCAGCCCTCTCACACGCGAGAAGCCAACCACATCCTGTGATATCCCGCACACCACCCCCTTCCCTTCTCGCTTCCACCCCCCCATTTCCTCTCCCCGTTGGCAGAGGTAAGGTTACGTGCTCTGTAGTTGTTTCTTGTTGGAGAATTTCAAAATTTGAATTTCAAACTTCGATTTCTCCTCCACACCATTTCTACCCTCGCCATTGCTCTCGCGTCGCATGCCGAGCCTCCACTCCCTGCGACGGCTGTCGCAGGTTTGGTGAAGTGTTCTCTAATCATGGTGCGTCCATCTACACTCGCTGTAACACTTTCAGTAGTGGCTCGTTCGTTAACATCTAATCCCCTTCCTATTGTCACGTTCGCTTTACATATAAATTTAGTAGCTGGGCGTCTTGCTGGCTATACGTTTCGCTTACCTGACCCACTATTGGTAGTTATGGCGCACGGCACATCTAAGAACCTTGTCCCTGATTCTTTGAAAATGCACCAGAGTCGACCAACGCTTCCGCGGAAGAGCAAGGAACGGCACTTGTTCTTCCCGTCACCCACCACAGGTAACTCCACTGTTTTCTGTTACTCTTGCCGTTGATACCGTCATGTCTAATACTTTCTGTGTTCTTTTCTATTTGTTTTTTCTTAACCTAGCAGGAGCCAACACTGAAGAAGAGACGGAGGAACTACCAGCTGGTCGTCACCCTACTGGCCAGCGTCATAAGACTCTTCGTCGGAGCCTCGACGATGTCAACGCTGCTGCAGGCGTCGGAACGTCCGAGCCTTCGCCGACAACTGGTGTCGATCCGGCCCTGCCAGCCAAGACTCCGGGCCAACCCGCCAAGGCTCCGGGCCAGCCCGCCAAGGCTCCGGGCCAGCCCGCCAAGGCTCCGGGCCAGCCCGCCAAGGCTTCGGCAGTCCCTGACAAGGCTCCAGCAGTCCCTGCCGACACTGCCGGTCATCCCGAAGCCTCCGGTGCCGCTGGTCATCTCTATGCTGCCATCGAGTCAATAGAGAATGTTGTCGCTGTCGTACAAGACAAGGAAACCGTTATTGAAGAAGGTGATTCATACCTGTGCTCACCTTTCGCAGCTTTGCATTGAGTTGCCTGCAACCTAGACAAATGTTGCTGTTTCCGAATCTGCTTTTGCCCACCAACAGAGAAGGCCGATGCCAGCCTGATGGAGTTGATGATGTCACGCGCTAAAGGTCGGGTGTACGCTACTAGGGCTGCTGCATATGACGAGGAAGAGCGTGACGAACCCCAGGTGAATGACGAGCTGGTAGCCAAGGCGGGTGCTCAGAAGGCGATCGCGGAAACATATCGCAAGGAGAACGATCGTAGGGCGGCGGAACTGAAGGACTGCATGGTGCTCGCACCTTGCTAAGAAGGCCACGGAAGTTGACCCAGCGACTCTCACCTGGGATGTAAGTAATTCCATTTCATTTATTACACTAGCATTCCATTCTTACGGAAACGTCGGATTGCTTATTTCTTAATTGTTGGTTGCAGGTGTACACCAAGAACGCTTGCGACGAGTTTCTGTTCCACCGAGATAAGCTCAATCTCTCTCCCGATTCTGATGACATGCTGAAGTCGCTGATAAGTAAGGATTGTTTGCTTTACTCTCTGTTGTGTCTGTAAGTTTTTGGAAGTTGACAATTTTTGCTTGGTATGCAGGGCACTCGGGCCACACGCCTGACTCACCCGAAGGCTTGAAAGTGGCTGCGATTGCAAAGTCTCATGGCAAGCTGAGGCATGCGTGTGTGCGGTTCAATGATCGCATCGGTAAGATTTACCGGTTTACCCGCATCCACGCCTTGATTAACGAGCCTTGTGTTTTCATGGAAGAGATGCGTAGCCTGAAGGGCCTGATTATTTACCACGAGCCCAAGGGCTTCCCTCGCATGTGCGAAGTCTATGTCATCGCCAACGACTCCAGTAAGTATGCTTCTTTCCTGCTTTCTGTAGCATCTGTAAGCCAGTATCTGACCGCTTTATTGTCACCCTGCAGAGTTGTTCGGCTTACCCTGGCATGTCCTGGAGGGAGTCCCGTTTTCTACCGACGGTTTTGTTAAGTGTGCTGCTCTCTGGGACTCTGAGTGGGATGGGTCCTTCCCGATTGCTCTGTTTCCTGAGCAGCTTCTTGTGCTGCTTGCAGCGGTGAGTTTCCTGTTTTAACCTTCGGTGTTTTTTCTTAATGTTATGCTTACAACTGGCTTTTGTCGTTACTGGTTCAGGTGCGTTTCAAATTGCGCAACCCCTGCTGCAAGGGACAGTTCGCGCGTTCTGGCGATCCCGCATCTCTCGCCAGGCAGGCACGGGTGGTGCAGCGTTGGATCAACGCCACCGAAGTCAAGCGTGATGGAGATTGCATTGGCATCGGGAAGCTGTGCATCGTCGGATGGACCGACATTTCTGATGAGGAGCTTGAGGGGGATGAGCTTGGTGACCTCTCCCCTGATGACCTAGTCCCCACCACCGCTCATCGCAGGGTTCATGATCAGAACCAGGTGCCGAGAGAGCTGTTTTAGATTTATTGTGTAGTGTAGGTGTATGTTTAGTTACTGTAGTGCTATGTATTGGTGTAGGTCTAGTTACAATATTGCTACGAATGCTATTTACGTGGTGTCTACGTAGTAAATGTAATTTTGATTAAAAAATTTAATTTATAACCCTGAATATCGTAGCTGCAACGTCTTTTTATTATGTATTTATAATATTGTAGTGGTTTATTTCATTTATTGCAAAAATTAATATTCGATTAGGTCACGTCCGTCACATGCACAATTTCCGCCTCAAAGATATTAATCGCATTTTATCTGGGAAACCAAAACACGCCGACTTGCGCGTCATCATTTCAATTGAGTTGTATCACTTTCGCTAACAGAACAAATTTGGACATGACGTGTATAGAAATACGACCCCAACTTCGAAAGTTGTTTTTCCGAAACAGTGTTTATCGAGTCGATATTGCTGACGCGACAACGAATCGGAAGAAAATTTGCGCCCACTGCCGATTGAACAGCTGTCTGCATTCAGCCCCCGTGCAGGTGAGTTTATCAACTCGGTGCGCCACAGCCTCCCCACGAGCGGCGGTGGCAAGGCTGTGTGGCATGGCACGGATGAATCGAGGATGGTGTGGAATCCTACGGTAGGGTTTCAGTACAGTACCCCTTGCAAGGCTGTGGCACGGGCGGATGAATGGAGGATGGTGTGGAGGAGTCTGGCCCCACGGTACGAGCTCAGGGGTGCATCGGTACCCCTGGCTTGGAAGGGTTCTCTTCGCTTCTTCTGCTGCTGCTGCTGCCGCCGCTGCTGCCCCGTGCTGCTGGTGCTGCTGCTCTTGGTGGTGGTATTGTGGCTTCATCCTTCCTCTCAGTCCGTCTCAGCACACCTCCAAGTCTTTCTTATTCTTCCAGATCTCTTCAAGCCTCAGCAACAGCTCACACCTGCACACATACTTTTCGAGCAGCAGCATTGACAGCGTTGCACTTTCTTAGTGTGTTTAATATCGAGCAGCGCTCAACTGAGCATTTTGGACCATCGCTTTTAGCCAGGGTCGTCCATGTCTGCCGCTAAGTGCCACAGCCGCCGCATGGAAGCCTGCATTCCGCTCCAGGGAGCTCAAGTGACCGTGGAAGGGACTCCAGTCAGAAAGACTTCAGCGGACTCGTCCGCCTCCCACAGCAGCCGCTCGAAAACCTGCACTGGGCTCCAGGGAGCTCCGCTGGCCGTGCGAGGAACTCCAGGAAGTGAACTCCACGACACACGATCTGCGGACTCGCCTGCTTCCAACAGCAGTCGCATGAAGACGTGCATTGCACTCCAGGGAGCGGCAGTGGTTGAGGAAGGGATTCCAGTCAGAACGTCTTCAGTGAGGGAACCCCATGGCAGACGGTCAGCGGACTCGCCTGCCTCCCGCAGCAGCAGTCGCATGAAGACGTGCATTGCGCTCCAGCGAGCGCCAGTGGGCGTAGGAGCTGGCCCAGTGAGAGGGACTCATGTGGGAGGCATCCATGTGAGAGGGACTCATGTGGGAGGCATCCCTGTGAGAGGTACTCCAGAGGGAGGCGCTCCAGTAAGAGAGCTCCACGCCACGCCATCAGCGGACTCGCCCGGCTCCCACATTGCGCGGATTGAGCGCCATGGGCAGCAGCACACGGCGTGGCTCTCACGGCACGGCATGAGGAGGAATGAGGTGCTGCGGAAACGGCCGGCTAGCATGCTGTGGCATGTAGCGGCTAAGAAGGGACGCTGTAGTTGGAATGGATTGCCGCACTTCAATGCTGCTCCTGTTGCTCCCTCTGCTGCTATTTCTGCGGTTGCTCCTATTGCTGCCGCTGCTACCACAACCGTTGCTGCTGCTGCTGCTCCTGCTCCTGCTCCTATTGCGGCTGCTGGGACCACAACCGTTGCTGCTGCTGCTGCTCCTGCTCCTATTGCGGCTGCTGGGACCGCCGCCGCCACCGCTGCTGCTCTTATTGCGGCCGCTGCCACCGCCGCTGCTGTTGCTGCTGCTCCTGCTGCGAACAATGCTGGTGCTGTTGCCGCAGCTGGTACCATTGCCAGCATCATTGCTACCTCGACCTCACCTTCTGCTAGCTCTAGCACATCAGCTGCTGCTGCTGCTGCTGATGCGGTGGCGGCTGCTGAGGATGCTGCTGTTGCTTCTGTGGCTGCTGCTGAGGATGCTGGTTCTTCTCTGGGGGAACAATGCAGCTGCCACTTGGCAGACAATGCACCAGTGGACACTGCTGATGCGACAGAGATATTTCCAGCTACAAGTGACGTCACTTCCCCCAGCACGCTCCTAAACACTCCAAGTCAGCACGTGTGGACGAACAGTGGAGCGAGTCGGCAAGGCGAGACAGGCTGTGCCACGTGGCAGCCTGCCATTCACTGCCTATCGGCTGCTGTCTTCCCCACCAACTTTGCCCCTAGAGCTGGAACCAAAGGCTCCCCTCCCAATCCCAATCGCACACGCATGCAGCAGGCTCTCTTTGCCCCCGCCATCCCAATTGGAGCACCGCAGCAGGAGGCCCATGATAATGCCTCAATGCTCCAGCAATGTGCTGTCTTTCCCTCCAGCGCTGCCCCTGTTTTTGAGGCACCTCAGAAGTCAACGCTCCAGGTCCAGCAATGTGCTGTCTTTCCCTCCAGTGTTGCCCCTGGAACCGGGTCCCCGGATTCCCCTTCACCCTGCACGCGCATGGTGCCTCTCTTTCCCATTCAGAGCCGAGAGGGAGCAGAGGGTCCCGATAACGTCTCAGTGCCCCAGCAATGTGCTGTCTTCCCCTCCACCATTGCCCCTGAAGCTGGAACTGGAACCAAGGGGCCTGCTCTTCCTACAAGCTCTCATGACACAGCAGACCCATGTCCGCCTGGCAACACACACGATGCTCAGGCCCATAATGGGCCAGCAGTGCTGCCACAATCAGAGCAGCGAGGCGCGTTCTTTTCCAACACAGCTGTCTTCCCTGTGGCCTTCGCTCAGGCGATTTTCGAGTCTACTGAAAAACAAGCCCATAATGGGCCAGCAGCGCTGCTACAACCAGACCAGCAAGACGCTTTTCATTCCAACACAGCTGTTTTCCCCGTGGCTTTCGCTCAGCCCACAGAGCGGTGTGCCTTTCCGTCGTTCACATGCCTCTTGAAATCCATCTCGCCCTCCTGGCAACAGGAATGCCTGACCCTGACCCCAGAAGCTGTTGCTGCGGGTAGAAAGGGACTATCGAGTGTGCAGCTGCAGCAACAGCTGCTTCAGCTTCGACAACAGGAGCGACGGCAGCTTCAGCAGCAGCAGCAGCAGCAGCAGCAGAGAGATTCTGAGGTTCATGTTGATGCCGCTGCATGGGAGTCTGATTGCACTGCTGGCAGTGCCCCTTCTGGTTCCAGTGAGGCATGTGTGCTGCATTCCCCGTCAGCGAGCTCTGATGGCACAGGGCAATTGGAGACCAGGCTGGAGATGCTGGCGAGGCTGGCGAGGCAGGAGAGGCATGCAAGGCAGGAGGGGCAGGCGGGGGAAGAGAAGGAAGAGAGAGAAAATGAGGAAGGGGGCTGGATCAGCAATGCTGGAGATTATGAGAGGTCGACTGCAGGGAAGCAACTGACTGAGATGCGCAGAGGCTGCAATGAGCTGTCGTACATATGGGCCGCCTCTGAAGATTGTGACGAGGGGGAGCTACTAGACACTGCATCCTCGTTATTGAGCATCCATGGAACATTTCGGACGTAGCAGTGCTGTCAACTGCATTACTTGCTTTCCTGTTAGCGCTTCGCTTAGGGCAATCTATAAGCATCCTTCCCCAGCCATAGTAGATGCCCTGCTTTGCCATAATATGCGCTGTTAGCTTTACTAGTATCTATATGCTAATACCCTGCTCCACCAGGGAAATAATTCTGCACTTGCCTTCATCAGGGTCTTTCTATAAGAACAAAAAACAATCATCTCACTACACTGCATGCCGTCCCATCTACCCACGGCCTGCCAGCCCTCTAAGCTCCCAGATCTTCACCATCTCATCGTCTCCCGCTGATGCCAGCAGGCGGGGATTCTGCCACACGGGGAGGGGGATGTGGGGGAGGGGTGAGTGTAATTTCATTCGCAAGTGGAAGCAAGAACAGAAGTATTCTTGTACGTATTGCAAGTGTGGGGCGTATGGAGAGGACTGGAAAAGCGATGGACAAAAGAAGTGGGCTGGGCGAAAGTACTACAAGGTGGAACGGGCATTTCACCTTGGGGTTCCATCTCACGCAGTTCACATCTGTGCCATGTGCGTGCGCCTTTCGAATCAACAGCTGGGCCCTGCTTCCCGACTCCTCTCCCACCCCTGCCACCCCTGCCACCCCCCCTACCACCCCTCCCTCCCCTGCCACCCCTGCAACCCCTGCCTCCCCTGCCTCCTCGCCACTCCCCTCTCTATCGGCTGCATCGGAGGTGGTTCTTTCAGCATCGGGCTGTGAGTGAGGGAGACCAGAGAACGAAAAGACTCGTATGCAGTCATCTCCTGCTGCTGTGGCAATCAACCCATGAACCCTGCAAAATCAATGAGGAGGGTGAACAGGAACAGGTACACCATGCAGCTACAAGAGTCAAACGAAGATATGCGCATGCATATCACTTTTTGCGCCAAGGATTAAACACGAGATGCAGCAAGTGGAATATGCCCGCAGCACTCTGGAATGGGCATTTTAGCCATGTCACCCTTGAGCAGTAAGATGCAGAGGGTAAGTGCGAACAGGAGTGCAAATGTCAGACGTAAGGGGCATACATTGACCAGTCAACATGGAAGATGGTGCGGTCGTGGAAACCCGAAAGTGTGCACACATGCGACCTGCCAAGCCAAGAAGCACATGCACATGATGTTTCGAGTCAGTGATGATGGGTGAAAGGGCAGAGGCGACGGCAAAAAACAAAGTTATTAGCTTGTGCGAATAGACCAATGCCACGATGCCAGATACCATAACAACCATCAAGTGGCATGCATGGATGTGCTTTGAGGTTGAGATTGTGCGTCCAACCGTACCATCCCCTTGCTGAAGGCTTGCTCCCTGAACTCCCTTCTGAGGTCCTCACATCCGATGGCTCCCGGCTTGTATCCCAGATTTTGACGGTCAGATCGTCACTGCAGGGTGGTAATGGGGCCCGAACCGAACACAGAAATACGCAGGAAAGGGTCGAAGGGAGAGTGATGGGAAGTCATGCGTGAAAGGGCAGAGTAATGGGCATGCGAGGATGTACGGGAAACAAATAAGGGCAAGAAGCGCATGGGAATGAATTCAGGGCAGGGAGCGCATGGGACGGGAAACAAGGATGGACGGAAAAAACTGGGTATGGCAAGGAGAGTATGGCAAAGCTGGGTACCTGCAGGATGCCATGTAGTGTCCTGTAGCATCAAAGGAAATAGCCCAGACTGTGGACGAATGCCCCGCCCTGGACACAGAGAAAAGGGCAGGAAGTTGATAATTGTGAAAAAAGATGTAAAGGGAATTAAGAACGACTTTTTCATCTCCCAATATGAAGTCATTGCTGCTGTAGCTGCCGACATTGGCATACTGGTTCTACGCTCACCCATTTGCAGCATCAAGGGTCTGCACGCACGACCAATCGTCTTCACCCTCCACCTCTGCAGCCCACACCTGCCACAAGCATTGGATCAGAAACGAGCAACGAGCGCATGGAACAATGTGCAAAGCTCAAATGTCAACAACCGCAAGGAAGACGTAAATTCCCCCCTCCACCAGGCACTTTCTTCAGCAGATTCACAGTAAGAATGGCTGCAACCTCCCTTCACCTTTATGCTGTCATCGTAGCTGGCAGACACGAGCCAGTCATGCCTGGGGTGCCAGCACACCATCTTCACATCCTGAGTGTGCCCATGCAGCACCGCCACACAGTCAAAGTCAGACGCCGGGCCCACGCCAATCCGTCCCGCCACTCCGCTGCTGCCACCTGGCACCTCCCAGATCCACACGCTCTTGTCACGGCTGCAGGTGGCTAGCAGGGAGCTAGTTGCGTTCCATGCGACGGACTTTACTTCGCTCTCGTGGCCCTATAATCATGGGTGGGTAGGGGGACGGCGGGAGTGTGAGGAAGACTTTTTAGGCGCCTCAAGAATCGTCTCACATCAGGTGGCTAACAGGAAGCTGGTGGTGTTCCATGCCACGGACTTCGCCTCGCCCTCGTGGCCCTATGATCATGGGTGGGTAGGGGGAAGGCGGGAGTGTGAGGAAAGGTGAAGATTAGAGCAGGGAGAGGGGAAGAGGGTGGTGAAGACAAACAGAGGTGCCGAAAGAGAACTTATAGACCGTATAAGGAAAATGAGAGGGCAAGCGGAGTGGGAGAGGGGGTTGAATCCAAGAACAAGGTCGTCATGAAAGGCGTGGATGGGTAAGGAGTTGCGCTACAATTAGTGTCGCTCACTCGAAAATTAATAAAAAAGAAAGCATGTGGTGTATCCGGATGTCCGAATAGCACTGGGCGCCCCTCAAAGTTCAGGAATTCTGAACATGCACATGCAGGAAAGAGTGAACGACAATGAGCTGACCTCGAGAACAGCGAGACACTCGAAATCAGCATCGTTGGACCCAGTCCTTTCCCAGACAGCCACCGTGTTGTCGAAGCTGGCCGTTGCGAGGAACCTTCCGTCTGGCGACCACTCGCAGGATCTAATGGTCCTCGAGTGCGTGTCTTCCAGAATGGCCTGTTGAAACAAAACCGAACACGAATCGGTACTGAGAGTGACAAAACAGCTGCTAATTGTCATACTTTGTTCAAAGTCGCGGAATGGATGCTGGGCCGAATTTCGAAAATGATATAGTAAAGACTCGGTTTCGGGATTTTTACAACCTTGCAGATGAATGAAGATGACGGTCCGGCTTCTCGACCCCAAATACGGACACAACGGTCGCCGCTACAGGAGGCCAGTAGCGCTCCGTCCGGCGACCATGAGACGCTCCACACGCGATCGTCATGCCCGCGAAGCTCCTGAACCTCGACTAACTCAGAAACGTCGCATGATTTCGAAACCGCTGAATCGGGTGGGGTACTAGGCACCATAGCAGAGGGCTGAAGGGAAGCAATCGCCGCCATTACTCCCATCACTAGGAAAAAACACGGAAATTGGATGATATCAGCTGGTAAATATGTCCTCAGTCTAGAAGTAGCCCGACAATGTTACGTGCAGAGTTTTTTACTCACAAAAGTCTGGAGCGACTGGTTTGCAGGTCGTAAGAGGTTTCCCCACCACCTCCAAAATGTTTTTCCCCTCAGGATTGATCGAATGTTTGGAGCAAAAGGTGGACCAAACCCTGTCAAGTTCATGAATTCCGAAATTGCTGGATTTAGAGAGTCATACTTCGTGTTTGAATTCACTGCTCATTTCGACCATCTTGTAAACTCCCAAGGCAGACTTGCATCGAGGACATTCTTCATCCTCTGCCACAGCAGCTAAGTACAGTGAAGTTACGGAGATACACATTTCTTCCCAAGCAGTGAGACACGGTTAGCTTTTCCTACTTGCTCCTGACATTAGCAGTGTGTCTGATCGTCATGTATCTGTTGAAACCATCAAGAAAACCGCCGTCAGTTGAGGTCTGTCTTGTCCTTTCGGAAGCTGGATTTTTACAGAGTTACAAAAACTGACATTGCCAGCCATTTTTATGAGCAGGAAGTTATGGCTTTCATGAAACAGTCCCGACGAAAGGTAGGATACCGTGAGCATTTTCACAAGATGTTCTGCTACACTCGTGCGGTAACGTAGCATCTTCTCATTTCAGGGTTCCCGTCGTGGAAGCCTGAACGCGTCCTTGCATGGCGGCGTCGGAAGCTCTTGTCAGAAGTATCTGGAAACGAAAATACCAGACGTTGCATCCTCTTGTCAGAAGTTTCTGGAAACGAAAATACCAGACGTTGCATCGAATTCTAATGAGCGTAACTTGTGCGAGAATTTCTTTGTTGATAAGCCAGCGCCGGTGCCAACCAAACAAGTTGGTTTCTCAAGCTTACGCACCACCGCCACTGAAGCTGCATGGGAGGTGGATAGAAAGTACACTTCAGACTTGCTACCAAGTTCCTTCGAGTTGCTCTTAGGAGCTAACAAACCGGTTGCATCGCCACCTTACTTCCCGGAGCGTGGAAGTTCGAGCTCGCCGTTCTTGGATGGTGATGTGAGAAGAAGCAGGCACCCAGTTTTGGAAGCGAGATGTCTAGACGCTGCATTAAAGATCGACGAGAGTGACCTCTCGACTTTTAAAGAGAGTGTCTCTGTGGCATTCCCTGTTATGAAGACATCGTCCACGATTGAGGGATGTGATCATGGTCATTCCCTGTTCACAAGTCCTACTGACGGCGTGCGGAAAATGGAAGGGAGCTTTTCCAACTTACTGTCGAGCTCCTCTGACCTGTTCTCTGGTGCCGAAAAATCGGGTTCACCACCGCCTTACATCCCTTCTAAAGCGAACGAGATTTTTTCTCCACATACTGAAAAGGTTGGGTCAGGGCAAACATGCATCCCACAACAGTGCGGATCGGAGCCAGATTTCACTACAGTTTGTAAAAAGAGTTCTGTGCTTAATGAGTGGGAAGCACCCCCTTCTTCATCGCCACAGAAGAATACCATTGAAGAGTTGTTCAGTGACCTGCCAGCAAAGCCTTTGGGGTGTGGTGGCTGCGTGAATGCAGACCTGGGAGCACGCACAAGCGTTTCTTGTGGCGAGTGGAGAAGTTTGAATAGC